TTGGGCTTAGGGTTTAGGGTTTGTGCGGGATTGAAACTTCGATGAACCGGAAACTCACATTTAGTGCCGTGAAGGGGTTTCCATGATGACTGTTTGTTCCCATCGTTAATGGTTCTGACCATCCTTGCTATCAGTATGACTACCACTACGTAACCCTAAACCCTAAACCCTTAACCCTGAACCCTAAACCCTAAACCGCGTTATCACAAGTAGGTCTGTCATCCTCGGGCTCCATTTCAAAGACTTACAGGTTAGGGTTCTTGCTAATGTTTCGTGGGGCATTTAGTCAAGGATCCCCCAAGTCCCCAGCCCTTACCGGACCCTGGATGTCCTACCGTTTTTTGGGGATATACCCTATAAATATGTAGGACAGAACCCAAAAAAGGAAGGACATCCAGGAACTCAATGCCCCTATGCGATCGCCTGCAACCCATTCCTTCCTTCGCTAATTCTGGGCCTGGCTTGTTTGGCGAGTTTTCCTTTGTACCCTTAGGGTTTGTACCCCTGGGTTTGGGACCCTAAACCATGGAATATGGCCCTTAATACGGGTATTTTGGAGCCCAAACCTAGGGTTACAAACATTAAGAGTACAGACTTAAAGTCTTTGACTTATTGCTTACAGGTGAACAACCCACGCCCCCGAGAGGTTTGGGGGTTTGGAAACAACTCGAGGATCTTTTTTGGGGGGGGCCTGAGAAGATATTACTAAGAGATACAGCTCCTGAAGCCCAAGCAGTATGTGAGCCATTGTCTAAACTCCTAGTATCCCGCTTAATGACCCCTATAATAGTTTCCTATATAATCCCCTATATAATATATATATATAACCAACCCCCTTTAAGGAGTTTAGACTACAGCTCATGTGAGTGCTATATTCTACGCCTCATAAGGAGCCACACCACCTGACCACCCTAAGCTCGAAGGCACCAACAAGAGCGTGCAAAAAGCGATCAAGGGGGCCACCTTGTCCAGCGCGCATGGACATGGGTTAGGTGATAGCCCCCATCACTAATGAGAGTCATGGGAATGAGTGCAAATATAACAGGGCTGCTGAATAATCCTTATTGCCCACAATTAGTGTGTTGGGGGATCACCTAAAACATGGGCAACATCATGGAAGCTACTATTGGCGCGTCAAGTGCCACTGCTGGTCAATGCAAGGTTGCTCATCAACCCTGTACAACACATCCGGGAGCTCAGTTTGGGCAATGTAGAGCTGGCAGGTTTTGCATGTAGCCAAAGAGCCAACCTCCCTTAGGCCTGTGGCGCTATCCCTAGCTAGAAGTTTTTTCTGCTGCACGTCTTTTGTTAACTTTGGGGATTAAAAAGAGGTCCGGCTTGACAAAACACATTTTTCCGCGTTTTTGAGGATCTCTTCCGCTCTGTTTGCACGGAAGCTTGTGAGAGTGCTGGCTAGTTTCCCAACCTGCTGGACAAATACGTGTACTGCGTCCATCACATATGCTTACCTGGGCCTTTGGGGCAAGTACAAAGCGCATAACAACAAATAGTCGAGCAACTGGGAAAACAGCATGCTACATATGTATGCATCCATATACATAGGTTTGTGCACGTGCTTGTATCTAAACGTACATTGACGTCACCTAAATCCTAAACCCTAGACCCTATGCTGCTTTAAGGGTATGCATCTGCCAATCCGCGGCACTCGGGAAAATCGGGCTGCAGGCCCGAGACAACTAAATGATGGAAGATTAAATGCCAGAAGCTACAGTTCCCGGTTGGAGCTTTGAAGGCCGCGCCCCTTATTCTCCCATATGATCCGTTGGTTAGACGATTCGTTTAGGGTTTGGAGTTTTAGGGTCGAGGGCTAGGGTCTACGTGGTACAAACATCTCTGGTTGTTTCAGCATCACTGATCCTGGTCTATGTGTAGGCCGCCACAGGCGAAGTATCCAGGAACTGGCCTGTAGCGCTCATAAGGAATCACAAAACTGTGGCCGTCTGCTGCACTTTGAGAGAGCGATGGCCACAAGACTAAAACACTTGGAGAAAAACCAGGCTTGCTGCGGACAGAAGACAGGAGGCTCTTCATCCCTACGGTCCCAGATGGTCCCATTTGCGGAGTCTTAGGGTCAGCATACTCTCTAAGTCTATGTTGCTTGTGAGGACCTCGTCAGGGTACCAGGGCACCAGAACTGGGAAAAGTTGACCTTTAAGGTCTGCTCACATGGTCTGCCTTGCTCAGTGATGCTGCACACCATTTCAAGCCCTCCGTCTTCACAGCAATTCATAGTACTTCTGTGGCAAAAAATGTTTCCGCGCTGCACAGTCCAAACTGCTCATGGGCATTGCGCCGCTGCCACCTCAGCCAGCTGCGACTGTCCTGCACCCTTGATCGGCCAGCAAGGCTCAGAGATTTAAAGAATAAACCCGTGTCTGCTTGGCTCGGGTGTCAGGATGCGCGGGCTCCTCAGAAAACTCCACAATGTACTCTGGGTAGACCTGTGCAGACTCCAGGAGGATGTACTCGCGCGGGCCCTGCTTGCCAGGATTTGCGAGCACCGAGTGCTTTCCGTTTGTCGCGGCTTCTTTTCCAGCCTCGTCGTGCCAACCTTTTTCGGTGTAGTAGGTCTCGCCACACACCGCTCGGCAGAGGAGAACGTACTTCGAGCCTGCCTTGCTGTAGCAACGAGAAGAGAACTTTTTACTACAAGGTGGTCTCTGAACATGGAGAGGGACCTACACGCATATATCTATATATCTGGGTAGGGTTCATGGGGGTCGCTGCTTGGGATTAGATAGGTGTATAGGAGGTAGATATTCAATAGCATCTGGGATTCAGCATCCTGCATCTGCCGAAGCCATTATACGCCGAATTCCTAGAAGTGATTAAAACTCTCTTCTCATGCATCAACCCGCCTTTTCGGGGCAATAGCTGATGCTTTTGGATAGCTCCTCAGCAAGGTAGATGCCTGGGCCGTACCGGCGTCCATGAGTGCTCTTCTCCTTGGACGCAACGTCTGCTAGCAAGGGTCGGTTGTGTAGCCGCCTACATGATGGGAACCTGGTTAAGCAGACGTAAAGAAGAGGCACGGATATGGCAGACAAAAGGTAGTTCTTGGCCTTCATGCTGTGCCTACGGCCCACTGCCCTTGTTGCTAACAACCTCCGCATTGCTTTCCCTTCCCCTCTATCTTGTCTTAATCCTGCTTTTTCAGCACCTTCCACTGGTCGCCAGCGGACGTCAGATTCCTCAAAAACCCTGGACGGGTGGGAATTTTCCAAAAACTAGGGGTCAATTGGGGGTGCGCAAAGGGCGCCCCCTGTTGGAGTGCGTAGACTTCTTCCGGGCTTACATGAGGAATCCAACTGCTCCGTACGCCTACACAATTCCGGGCTTTCTACACTACTATCTTACCATATTACTATATTACTATTTTGCTGCATTACTATTACTATTAGTAAGCTTCCCAGGCACGGAAACTGCGAAACCTTGCTCCGCGATTGACTCTGCGGCCTGAAACGGGGCCTAAAGTACCCTAGATGGAGGAATTCTTATGGGGGTTCTAGGGCTGTATATGGGATATACACGCAGCTTTGTATAGGGTTACAGAAGGTTTTATAGGGTTATATGTGGAATGAAAATGGCTAATGCATCACCTAGGACCTATAGGGCCCTGAAAGGGACTCAGGGTAGTGCAAGGCTTCTTCCAGCAACCGACTCAAGCGGATAATTATCCCGTCGTGCTCAAACTGAAGCCTCCTCTTGGAGAGCACACTGCGTGAACTCTAAACCTCTTGTGATGCTAAGAGGCCCCACTGTAGGCTGACGAACGATTACAGCGCACGATTTCTTATGCAAAAAAGGGAGAACATACTTGGAGCAGGGATCCATGCTCAATATAAGCTATTGTCTACATCCCTAGTATCCCCCTGAATAACCCGTATGGTAATCCCCTATATAATCCCCTATATAACCCCCTGTAAGGAGTTTAGACGAATTATGGTTCATTTGAGGACCCCTGCATAAACCCGATGCAGGTGGATTGCGATAGCCTCGCGGGATGTTCCATGCCAAAGCAGCAGCTCGTTGACGGATGCCTTGGCATATAGAGAAAAAGGCACCCATGCACTAATTATGGTCTTTTTTGTATATCTTGCTCTACTCCTTGGGCTCAGAGGTATTTGGCAGTCGGATATACTATATATAGATATATATGTACATATCCTTATTATGGGACAGAGAAGACCAGACACGGAAAGGTCGCGGGCTTCCAGGCGCTCCGCGTCGAGCTCCGCCCACAGGGAGGCATGTCCCAAACCCCCTCCAACCTCCTTCTTAAGCAAGGGGAGGCATGTTGTATCAGGAGCCATGCGTGCGTATGTGGGTAGTTCCCGAAACTAGGGTCCCATTTTGGTACCCCTAAATATTAGGTGCCGTAATCTAACCTATAACCGAAAGGGGCCCATAATTTTGAGAACAACCCATGTGCATGCGGAAGGGGCCGCTAAGAGGATGCATCTGGGTACGCTTCAGCCGGGCTACATGTTGAGGATGGTTGTCTGCGACATGTCTGAACTCTGGCTGGGGGAGAGGGCCCTGCCAAACGGGGACAAATCCAGAACCCATAAGTTCCTCGAAGAGTGGTAGCATGCAGGGTGGTCATTGTACAACCTCCTTCTTCAGTTGACTGGCCTGCGCTTGCACCCTGCGTTAGCTCTGGTCTACACACACGCAGGGCATGACAGTGTCCAAACCATAAGCATCAAATTCATCCAAAAACCTTACATTGTAGGGTCTTTGGGCCCAAATTCCTTCAAATATGAATCCTTAGATGCTTAGGGAAAAGGATGCTCTTTTGCAAGGCTCCTGCGGCAGTTCGCAGCGTTCCTGGCCCGACTCAATCAGCTTCTTTTGAATGGATCTCTTAAAGTCCTGAGGCGGCCGGGGCAGAGCTCTGAGTCTGAGAGGAATTGGTTTATTATTGGTTTATATAGGGCTTATTATTGGTTGATATAGGGCTTATTATTGGTTTATTATTGGTTTATATAGGGTGCAGGGCCGTTTTGGTTCAAGGTTCAGGTCTGGCTTTAGGATCTATAAGGTTGGAGATTATCCTCTAGGGCCCTAGGGCTTCATCGGCCTAAAGGTATCTTGTCAGGTGAAGAAGCAAGGGCAGCCACACAGGAGTAGCCGCCTCGCAGGTGAGGCGCCTTCCGAAATGCCTTGCTGTTCGCTAGTAGGGGCTGGAGAACTTGCAGCCCCTATACCACCACCAGCAAAACATTGTGCACGATCCCAAGCGCCCTTAATCTTGGGGATTCTGGGAGTTTTAGTACAGTAAGGTCATGCCGGGTACCAAGGCTCAGGCTCCTTAACGCTCTTTCCTGGTCTTTGAGAACTGTTTCATTCCTCTGGGTTGCTGTTAAGGAACTTAAATCAAGTTACTGTATTGGGGAAACCCTATTATTTGCGATATATACCCATAATGGTAACTTAATTTAAGTTCCTTAACAGCAACCCAGTCTTTTTCACGCGTTCCCGCTGCAAGGCCTAGGCTAAGTCTACGGGCGAAGCCCTTCTACAGGGACAGTCGGATTAGGATTATAGCTTGAAGCATGTCCTCAATAGAGTTGTCCCTTGTGCAGCGTAACATATAAAAAACAACTATATTTCACCACTTGGGAGCCCTTGCGGTTGAACCTTAGCCTTGACCCCAGCAGCCTAGACGCGAGATGCAAACCAAGGGTCCATGTATTGTAGCCACAGCCCGGAATCCTGCGCTCATTGTGCTCAGTTTAAGCACCCGTAAAGCTGGAATGAAGTATTTAAAAGCGCAGGTTGCATGTGACTATGCGGCTTTTTCCAATTTTCTCCAGGGCGCTCTGCTCTCAGGTCCTTATTTGAGGAATCTCCACGTGCCCCTTGGGCACTTACGTTGGGCTTGCTTCGACTCAAACATCACCATTTGAGTGCCCTAAATACTATAAACCTTAAACCTGAAACCCAAACCTCTAAACCCTAAACCTCAAACCTGAAGCCCAAACACCTCAAACCTAAACCTTAAACCTGAAACCCAAACACCTAAAACCTTAAACCTTAAACCCAAACCCCTAAACCCAAACCTTCAACCTGAAACCCTAGTGGATAACCCTACGCCACTTTATCCCTCCAGTCAGCCAAAGACCTTGACCTTGTTCCAGCCCCAAACTTCAAACTTGGGATGGTGACTCAAAAGATACAAGGCTTTGCCATAACCCTTAATCCCATAGGGAGTTCTCTGGGGATCCAAGTGGGGAAGTAAAAAAGGCCACGTTCCCAAGCTTAGTATCCTTAACATTGTTATCGGTAAATTTCCTCTGACAGGGGCTTACTCTGGAAAAGCCGTTATCGGTATTTTTCCTCCGGTTATCGGTGAAGGCTTTTTTATGAAAGGGACAAAACTCAATGGGCCCACAAGTAAAAACGAAGAGGCGCCGGGATATTTTACCGTCCCAAGTATACAAATAATACCCGCCACTGTTGAAGCCGATCCCTCAAAATTCAAGAAACGCAGCTCCCTCTGTGGTGGCGGTCTTATTTTTGCCTCCTGGAAGTCGACGCAAATCAAGAGGGTCAAGTCCATATCGTGTGCAAGGTGGCGCGAAAAAGGTGAACGCAGGCTTCTGTCGGCTTCTCTCCGGTTGCTGTTCTGGTTCTTGTCCCGGTTGTTGTCGTTGTTGCTGTTGCTGTTGCTGTTGCTGTTGCTGTTGCTGCTGCTGCTGCTGCTGCTGCTGCTACTGCACGATATTCTAATTTGGGCATGGATGCTCTGGTGACCGTATGCTCGTGGAACACGAACATTATTATGGTTTGGGCATGGATGCTCTGATGACCGGATGCTCTTGAAACACCAAAATGGAGCTCGGTTAGCTAAACAGACTGACCGAACAACATATCAAAATGGGCTCGGTTATCACGGCGCTTGCAAATAATAGGGCAGGGTTTAGGGTTTTGGGTTTCCCATAACCTGGGATACCTTTCTGTTGGTCCCTTGCATGAGAACCATAATGTTTTGGGGTCAATGTCAGGGTTCCTTTTTAGGGAAACGACCCATGTTTGAGCCGTCCATGCATTTCAAAGTGCTGGTGTGGGTTATGGCAGGAAAGCAAGGTAACTCTGATCAGTCCGAATCAGCACTCCAAGCGGAAAGTGAGCTGTATTGTTTCGACAAAAAGTCTCTGTCTGATATCTCCTCTTGCTCAGGTCTATACCTTAAAACCCTAGATCGTAGTAGGCTCATGCTGAATTTTGCCCGTACCTTCACTGTAGGTTCTAGATGTGGAGAAGGGTATCTCAAATTGGGACGTGTCTGGGAATGCAACCCCTTTTTTTCATGGGAACACTTACCAAAGGCAACACCTGGCACCCTACTAGACGCAATGTAGGCCTTACCGTCCCAAAAGGTCCTGGTACCTATATGATTGATACTTTGGGCCCAATGGGATTCCCATAAAAGCGCTTTGGGGTCTAAGTGTCTACTATATGTACCTGGGCCCTTTGGGTGTATTGGGGGATGGGGGTTTTGGGTGTCGGGGCCCGTTTAGGGCGTAGGGTATATAGGGCTTAGGGTCTGGGGCTTAGGGCTTGCTTACGAGATGATTGGACATGCCAAAAGGCTCCTATGTAGTTACTTTTTGGGTTTGTTATGTCTTTTGGTAACGGAGTATAGTATAGTACCCAAACAATTACGGTTTCTGGGTAAGGGATTCTAATATAGTAATCCCCAAAACAACTACATAGGAGGGTCTGGGTGTAGCGATTCCTCGCAGGGTCAGGCCTCCACACGTCTTGCCGAGAGCACTTCTGGGGCCGCGCCGCTGGTGGTCTCATCTGCCAACCTCGAGGTACCAGGGAGATATTAAAAATTACTCATGTCAGCTAATTATAGCATTGGTTAATGATACTGATCTCTTTGATAGAAACAATACTAATACTAGTCTCATTGATCATAACAAGGCTTAATAATACGAATCTCATAAGAACAACAACAACAATCATATAGACACACGAGTATGAACAATAAGAATCATAGTTTCCTTTGGCGGTCGCCATTTCGTGGTTCGTGAATCTAGATGCGGAATTCCCTATGTTAACGTATAAGCACAATAGCGGAAATCCGTAGGATTTGAGATGAGCTATAGTCTAAACTTTTTTCCGGTATCTATATAGGGGTTTTTTAGGGGACTGCTTTAGGGGTTTTTTGGGGGGTTCGAGGAGTTTCGACTATAGCTCTTCTGAGTCGGTGTTGTGCAAGGGTGGTGCTGTCTGGGATTCTTGCCGGATGCTGCTCCCAATTCCCAAGTTTGCGGCTGTCGGATTGCTTGCAGCAAAGGGCTGATGGTATCTTGGATACAAGGTGACTCAACTAATGCTACCAAAAACTACATTTCATCAAGTCGAAATTTGCGCGCAACTGCGCAGCCGACAGTACCAGCAAGTTGCCTATGCACCTATACAAAACCTGAGCAGGAAAAGCAGTGCAACCTAGTTGCAGCAGTCTGAACATGTGTGGACGTCCACAAGGGATCCACTCTCTCAGATTTGCCAGATTACGTATGCGCCCTGAACTTCAGCGACCCTGAGCGTTGACCCCAATTGCCCCTTAGAATGTGACCGAACTGCAGGCTCGAAACAGCTGGATGAGCTCGCGAATTTGTGGTTTCACAGCCCAATGCTCTCGGAAGGCATCAGTGGCTGGGCTTCTGGCAACCTAAGAGGTCTGGCGAGGCAGATGCTCGGAACCGTATACACCCCATGAATATGGTATGACCAACCACATAAAACAAGCCCAAGGCTGAAGGGCCCATAGGTCATCAAGAATATCATGCTTCGGGGCCCAATCTGGTCTCGAGATCTTGCAGCAAGACACCACTCTTCCTATCTACCCCAAAAACACATGAAAGAAGCCATGAAGGCTTCAAACAGGTCACATTCTAATCATACGGGTGACATTCTTCCAGTAGAGAGGCAGCTCCAATAGGAACGGAGCCTCACTGGACGGTTCTGAGGCTTCCTGGCCGCTGTGCAGGCGCCGATATAGAACCAGATACTCCTTGGTCTCCCTGGTGTTTATACCAAAAAAACCGTAAAGCACGAAATCTAGAAACATCTACAGCTCAAGACATTGCAACAAAGCTTCAAAGCTGTGTCAGGGTAGCTAGCCTATGTTCGGGCTGACACACAGCCATGACAAAGCAGCCCCCAAACACGAGAATAGATGTTGATGAACGTTTCTGGCGCTTTTTGAGGATAGTTGGAGCCCATATAATCCCTATGCAACATATTCCCTCAGCATATCCGCTGCTTCTTGTTGGTGGCCGGCCAGGTATTGGGAGGGCAATGTGTCGACCGATTCGAGTTGCCAATGGCTGCCAAGGCTCAGGGTAGACTTGGTCTGTACTGTACCTGCTTAGCTGCTCCATGCTCATGAATGTATGTGGTGGTCTCCATAAATAAGGGGGCAATATTGGGGACCCCCCACAAGAGCCCCCCTCTTCTTGGGAAAGCTACGTGCCTCTTCTTGAGACCACCCAATGTCTAGGGATCTGTGGGTCTATGTTGACCTGCTCCTCGAATTTTCCACTCTGGCGAGCTAGATCATAAGATTGTACTGAAATTGAGCTTCAGCATCTCAAAACGAGTTTCATGTGGTTTGGTCCCAGCTTCTTTGTGCTCATTGAATGTATCTGCAAAACCTGCCATTGCATGAAAGGTAGGCTAACGGAGTTTTAGCTTTGGCGTTTCCAAAGTTCAGGACCAAACGTTTCAAGCTTGAGTTTGGCGAGGTCTGGATCGGATATGCGCACCGGGAATTTCACGCTGAAGGGTCATTAGAGTCTGGAAATCGTAGGCCAAACGCTGAATGGCAAGTCGATGCAAAGCAGGTCCGGAAGCTTGTAATCAAAATGATTAGCTTACTGGTTGTTACTAGAGAATACTGGAAGTGTCCCTACATAATCTATTCCCTTATTCCCGGCTAAGCCCCAGTAAGCTAGAACATGTCTAGATTCTGACAAACTGTTGCCTCACCCCCGCTTTACAGCAAGCACAGCTTTAGGCTTCAGGGCTCTCTTGAAGAAACCAAAAGCAATAACATGGCATCTAGAACTTCTTAAAGCCCTGACTTCAGCCGCAAACAGGACGCCTCATGTGGGATACTTTTGAAGCCTACATCGTCCGTATGGATCCTCCGCAAGAAGCTCGCTGGAATGGATTGCTGGAACAATCCCTCTCCCAAATAACCATAATACTAACCTTGAATTTAAATACAGTGCAATATTCATACAGATATCCTTATTCTTGTCTAGTCTTGTTTTTAGCATTAATTACTACTGTTGCTGTTATTCGGGCTGTAAGAAACATGGCTCCAGACAAAGCACCGGTATTTATGGCACCCGAGGGACACGCACATCTCACGGTAGGTGTTCACGGCCCGCGCGCGATCTCCCAGGGTGCTGTCGGACTGTCCTCGACCGTACCTCTCCAGACTCATTGTAATAGCATGCTAAGTGAACCCTCAAACTGTGTGGAATACTGGTCGTTTGAGTCGTCATAGATGAAATGAGCATTTGGCCAAAGGCCTTTCTGAATGAACGAGCACGAAGAAACGTTACTGCACTTGAAAGCCCCGGCCTGGACCCCACTGCCATCTCGCCGGACACAAAAATTCTAAATCAACCTCACTCCACGCGATTCTTATCCAATGATATTTACGGCATGCCCTTTCGGTTGGGCTTCCTAAGCCCGTGAACTAAAGCTCGGAACTCTTAACCACCCCAGAAATCCTGGGGCCGCGAACCCGACAGCCCTAAACCCCTACTTAGATTGTCAGGTGGACGTAGTAAGTAGGCTAATGATGGGGGTTACTGTGCTTACTTACGAGGTCTCCCTGACACTCCGAGCACGCTGACCCTAAACCCGAAACCCTATAGCCCAAACCCCTACATAATAGTAGTTTCCATTTTATCCTCCATAATCCCAATATAACCCCAATGTAACCGAAATATTACCCCAATGGGTTAAACCAGGGCACTTGAGGATGGCTGCCGGCTCACGCTCCAGGGTATAGTGAAACTTTCCCAAACCTTCGCTTCGGTTGCGGATCCAAATGGGTCCATGTAGATGTATAGAATATACTTTGGGCCCAAAGAGATTCCCATACAAGTGCTTTGGGTCCCAATGTTGTGCGATATGGCGGTTTATAACTTAGGGCATCAAGGTGCACTTTTTCGCGGTTTAACCAAACAATACAATTATACCCTTTAACATGGTCGGTAGCTGCCAGATGGATCCAAACTTACTGAATTTGGGGAATAGATACTACGTACACCCACGGGGAATTCTCTAAATCAGAGGTTTCACTCCGGATGTCCCCATACATGAGGATCATAGCACCCTGGCTGCACAGGTGCGTACCCCAACTTAAAACCATACCCGGGCGCCAACTTTGAACGAACCCTGATCTTTTCGGTTGTTCGTAGACATGAAGGAATGGCATAGAAACTGGAAGCTACTACTTAGAGACGTAGGGCTCAGAGTCAATGGTAGGGAATGGAGAACTGGAATGTCCGGAAGCTTCTACATAGCCTCCAATAATGTAGAAGTGTCCAGGTTCTTTTGCCGGTAATGTCTGCATGGGCTTCTTGTTGTTCGTATAGTCTCAACATATAAATATATATATATGTATATACACATACATGTATGGAAATTTGCACGAAGGCCCCCCGCCTGTTTAGAACTTACCACATGTTAACTTGAAGGACTCAGGGCTTTTCCAAGGAGGGACTATTTGCTGTTTCGGAATATGTGAAAACTACTAAGGGATTGTAGGGTTCCAGTTTCAGAACCCTATATGGGGGGCAATCACAAGGTTCTAGCGGGCTAATTTTGCAAAACTCCCAGCTTAGAAAATGAATCGTGTTGCAGCTGACCCTACTACTTGGGATCATTTTGATAAACTCCCACGTGATTGAACCCTAAATCCTTAACCGGAGACCCTAGACCCTTCCGTTGGGTAATGATAGTACAGGTTTTGAGTAAGTATACGATTATTGGGTGCTTGGACCCTTAGGGTCGTATTCGCTGAGGTCAGCCCAAGGGGCATACGCGGCAGAGTAGGAGGGCACGTATGCCCTCGTAGTGGCCACCCGGTTCATCTTTTGAATACCTTGCGAAGGAAATCCAGGCTAACCACCCTTTTTTGATGGGACTTTTGCACCTCTTAGGGCACGAAAATCGGTTTCCTTGCCACCCTTTGCAGTTTGTGATTGCTGCAGGGAGTGTTTCAGCTTGGAGGCGTGGAGCTCAGTGCCCATGCTGGGTTTAGGGCTTGAAGCAGCTTAGGCGATTAACAAACCTGGTCCACATGAAAATCAGCTCAATTTGGGCTTCTCTATTCCTTGGATCTGTAACCCCAAGATTGAAGCCCTAGAAGCTTGCTGGAGTTTTGGGAAATGGGTCACAAGGTTGATGTTGGGGTATGAGGCCGCTCTGTGCCCGCAAAATGGTTATGTAATTGGGTTATTATGACTCTGAACCTGCGCATGACTAAGTACACCTAAAGCATACAAAAATGCCAGTGACAAGGCATGGCGCTCATCAGCCTTCGTCGCGCTTTCAGAGAAGTAGAGGCCCTTGCCATACCTTGCATCGTGATTTAGTACTCTTGAAGGGGTTCAATCTCGGCTGCCTTGTTTTGGGAGGGTCTTTACTTAATCTACCCCTTTTCAAGTAACCTGCTTGAGGAAGTTTGCAACCAACAGCCCGAATCATCCTCCAATGGTTAAACATAGAGGATTGTAAGGAGTGGTTGGCCTCGGGTTTGCGATCGTGGCCTTTTGTCTCAAGCTTTCAGAAAGATGCAGTCCAAGTGCGAGGCCTACATATTGACTCCTTAAAGTCCTTATCGCACCTTCCTCAGGCGCGCGTATCGCATCGTTAAGTCAGTGTCAAGAACTGTGTGGGCCTTGGAGGGCGTTGGGCTCGGTGTTACAAAGCAACTGCGCAGGTTCAGCGCTTGCCCTGGATGACCAGTCGCTTTCAATCAACAGTAGAACAGGACGGTACAAGCCATAAACAAACAAAAAACAGAAACACAAAGTACAACTTGTTTGCCAGCTATTACGTGTATTTGCTAAAGCCTAGACCTTGCGTTCAAAGCCCAGAGCCTTATCATGACAACTAGTCACGGAAAGAATAGTACTAGCGCCCATCATACTAGTAATGAAAATGAGAATAATAACACTAACCCTAAACCCTAAACCACTTTTAAACCCACAGATATAGTAAGTAGCAATTACTTTAATAATCCTTTTTCTACTGAGCTGCATGGTCCCTCCGCCTGAGCCGGCCAAGGACAAATTGAAGTCTGACTGCGCGATCCTCGGTGGAGAAAAGCATGGGCTTGCTTGCAGGGTCAGGGAGACTTAGCAAGTGGACTTATGCCCTGAGGGTTTAGGGTTTATGGTTTAAGGTTAGGGAGACTTAGCAAGTGTACTTATGCCGTGAGGGTTTGGGGTTAAGGATTTAGGGTTTAAGGTCAGGGAGACTTAGCAAGGAAATTATGGTACTACGGTGTTACTACAGTCTGCTAGGGTCACGCAGGAATTTTCGTATCAAGATACTGGGAGGGTCAGGGGGCTTAGACAATATATTTATATAGCCCCTGTAAGCCAAAAAAAAATTATCCCCAAAACCCACTTACGAAGTCCCCCTGACCCTCCGAATGGGTGTCCAGAAATGAAGGTATCCTTGAGTCCTTTGAAGCTTATCATTAGGATCCCGTTAGGTCCCTTGCAAAGGGATGATAGGATGTTTCTCAAGTTTATGGCTGCGAATTTCTGAAAATGCAGACCTTTGCAGTTCCGGGTTACAGGCCATTCTTAGGGGACTATGGAGGTCAAAAGAGCCACTTCTCTTCTCTTAAGAGTCCGAATGCCCCGAAGTAGACATGCAGATGTGCTGGGTGTGGCGCAAGGGGAATCCGATACCCCCTGCATGTACATTTCAAAGAAAGAAGGATGCAGGTGGAGACTGAGCAGCTAAACAAACAAACAAATCATTTGACTGGCTGATAAATGCAGTGACACGCATGGAAACACATATGGATGAAGTGGGTCACGTGTTGACGAGTCACATGAGGCCGTGTCGAACGGAGGTGCCGTGCCAAAGGTACACCTCGTTGACGTCATCATCCAGGTTGCCTGCGACTGGTTCGAAGAATCCGCTCGCCACAAAAACAACTCCTCCCCAAAATAGTAAAGATGGCCAACATAGTACCATGATAAGCTTATATATATATATACACACATGCATACATCTCTTAGGGGTAGTCACTACAGGGAGGGGACCACCCTTGCACTGGTGGCATGACTGCTGCCACGGCAAAGGCTGTCACTGCTGGATAATGTCGGGAGAAACCTGGTTATGGTATAGGCTTTAGAGATTGTATGCGTAAGTTGAGATTCATGCATGTATTTCAAACACATGCCAGTATCACAGAAATACTGTACTGCAGGATCTAAGAATGCAGCTGACAAAGGCTTCACTACCATGGAGTTCAACATGCGCGTACAGGTAACTTTCTCTTGAAAGCACACCCAGTTTCCTTGTATATGTGAAGTTTGGGGTCTAAACCCTAAACCTTAAACCCTAAAGATGGTTCAACTTCCAAAGGCCAAGTTGCCGAGGGATTCTCGAAGATCGAAGTTGCGCAGAGCGCTGCTCGTGAAGATTGCCTTAAACACATCAACCAAATTGACACGCTGCACCCACGTCGCCAAATTCAACAGTTTTCCCAAGCCGTACACCCTAGCCGCCCTAGCCTTGTTCCTTTAAGACCCTCACACCATCAACTTCGTCAAGCTCCTCTGCAACAAGCCCTTTTAATTCCTGCACCAAATGTGAACTCCAGACCCCTTAGCCCGACCCTATGGCCAGCTCTCGCCCCATGAAACCTTCCCAAACACTCAGGTGCTAAAGCCCCTATACCTATAAAGGGAGATTATAGGTAATCATTTGGGTAACATTAGGATTCTATTGGGGTTATAGTGGGATAATGGAAAATAAAATGGAAACTACTATTTAGGGACAGTTAGGGTTACAGACCCTGCGCCCGAAAGCCCCAAGTTCCCCTCTGCCCACCACGGCGCAGGGTTTGGACCTTCGCACAGGCCCCGAGCGTCCTTGATTTCAGTGCGGCGTCGCAGGTACCTTGCGAACATCTCGGAGTTTTCCTCGGATGGTCCTCCCCTCAAGTTAGATGGAAGCCCCAGAAAAATGATAGAAGCATCTAGCCGAGAAGTGGAAAATCATAGAATATGAAATGGAAACCGGATGATAGGGATTGGTATATAGACCCCACTCCAAAAACGGCAGTCTTGGTATAGGGCCTTTAGGTGGTTTTCTATGTCAATCTGGGAGAGGCTTGCGCGGTGCCAGTCGGGTTTGTCCCAGTGTGTTAGCCAACC